GGAAATCCTTGTCTTGTTCCTGATTTTAGCATGAAACTTTTCAGCTTTTGACCATTTAGTATGATGTTGGCTGTTGATTTTTCATAGATAGCCTTAATCAGGTTGAGATAAAGACCTTCTATTCCAATTTTCTGTAGGGTTTTTATCATGAAGGGGTATTGGATTTTGTCAAATGCTTTTTCTGCATCTATTGAGATGATCATATGGCTTTTGTCCTTGGATCTATTAAGATAGTGTATTACATTTATTGATTTACATATGTTGAACCATCCTTGCATCCCTGGGATAAATCCGACTTGTTCAGGGCATATGATCTTCTTGATGAACCTCTGTATTCTGTTTGCTAGTATCTTGTTGAAGATTTTTGCATCTATGTTCATTAGGGAGATTGGCCCGTAGTCCTCTTTTTGGATTGGGGTTTTCCCTGGTTTTGGAATCAAAGTAACACTTGCTTCCAGGAATGAATTTGGAAGTATTGCTTTCCTTTCAATTTCATTGAAGAGTTTAAAGAGTAATGGCATTAGTTCTCCTCTAAATGTCTTGTAGAATTCAGCAGTGAAGCCATCAGGACCTGGGCTTCTCTTTGTTGGTAAATTTTTAATTACATTTTCAATTTCACTGATTGTAATTGGGATGTTTAGAATTTTTATATCTTCTTCGTTAAACTTTGGCAATTCATATGTATCTAGGAATCTGTCCATTTCTTCTGTGTTTTCCATTTTATTAGAGTACAGATTCTCAAAGTAGGTATTGATAATCCTCTGGATTTCTGCTGGATCAGTTGTGACTTCACCTTTTTCATTCTTCATTGCATGGATTTGAGCCTTTTCTTTCCTTTTTTTGATAAGGTTAGCTAATTTATCCTTTTGAAAAACCAACTCCTTGATTCATTGATTTTTTTGTATTCTCTTAGTCTCCATTGCATTGATTTCTGTTCAGATCTTGATAATTTCCTCTCTTATATGAGCTTTGGGTTTGTCATGCTCTTCTTTTTCTAGGAGCTTGAGGTTCAGCATTAGGTTGTTTATTTGAGATCTTTCTGTTTTCCTAATATGGGCATTCACTGCTATGAACTGTTTTCATTGTGTCCCATAGATTCCTGTATGTTGTACTGGCATTATCATTTACTTGTAGAAACTTTCTAATTTCTTCTTTAATTTCCTCTGTGACACATTGGTTGTTCAGGAGAGTATTATTCAATTTCCATGTGTTTGTGGAGGTTTTGTCATTTCTTATGTTATTAATCTCCAATTTTATTGCACTATGGTCTGATAATATACAGGGGGTAACTTCAATTCTTTTCATTTACTTAAGCATTTCCTATGAGCTAGCATGTAGTCTATTTTGGAGAATGACCTGTGTGGAGCAGAAAAGAATGTGTATTCTGATTTTGGGGGGTGGAACACTATGTAGACATCTATTAAGTCCATTTGTTCAAAAGCTTGGTTCAGTTCCAGAATTTTAATGTTGATTTTTTGTCTAGAAGATCTATTTGTGACAGTGCAGTACTGAGATCCCCCACTACAATTGTATTAGTACTTATTTGGTTTTTCATGTCCATTAATATTTGTTTTGTATAGTTGGGGGCATTCGTATTTATTGCATATATATTTATGATTATCATCTCTTCCTCTTGGATTGTTCCCTTCACAAGGATGTAGTGACCATCTTTGTCTTAATTAGTTTTGGTTTGAAATCTTTGTCTGCAAATAAGATTGCAACCTCTGCTTTTTTCTGGGTTCCTGTCTCATGGAGAACTGTTTTCCATCCTTTTACTTTCAGTCTATTAATGTCTTTTTGAATTAGGTGTGTTTCTTGTATATAGCATATTGTTGGATTTTGCTTCTTAATCCATTCTGCCAGTCTATTTCTTTTGATTGGCGAATTGAGGCCATTAACACTGATGGTTATAATTGATAAATATTGACTCATCCATGTCATGATGTTTTACTGTTGTTCGCTCTTTTATTTTTTATTTTTCCCCCTTTCCCTTTAGTTTTTTACCTTGCCTGGTGGCTTCCCTCTGTTGGGCCTCATGGAGTTGTGACCTTCATTGCCTTTTTTAAGGATATTGTTTAGAATTGTTTGGAGTGCTGGTTTGGTGTTCATGACATTTCTCAGGTATTCTTTGTTGTGGAAGTATCTAATTCCCCTCGATTTTGAAAAATAATTTTGTAGGATACAACAGTCTAGGTTGGAAGTTATTTTCTTTTAGGGCTTGAAATATTTCACTCCAGGCTCTCCTTGACTTGAGGGTTTGTGCTGAGAAGTCTTGTGTGATTCTGATGGGCTTTCCTTTGTAGGTGGTTTATTTCTTTTCTCTAACTGCTTGTAGGATTGTGTTCTTCTGTTGAGTTTCTGGGATCTTGATTATTATATATCTATGTGTACATTTTTTTGATCATGGGTAGTTGGAGTTCTATATGTCTCACTTATCTGTATGTCAAATTCTCTACCTCTGTCTGGGAAGTTTTCTACTATTACTTCTGTGAACAGTTTTTTTATGTCATTTGTACTTTCTCCTGCTTTTTCGTGGATTCCTGTCAGTCTTATGTTATTCTTTGCATCATCTAGCAGCTGGTGGTTTGATTTTTTGTGGTACCTTACTATGTTTAAGAAATCTCTGTTTTCATGGTCACTAACTGCAATCCTGTCTATTTTCACATTTGGTCAATCTGCTGTGAAAACTTTCAATGGAGTTTTTTAATCTCCTGTATATCTGTTTGAATCTGTTTCATGGATTCCATTTCTTTCATATGTTGAGCATTCATGATTTCCATTTCTTTCTTATGCTGGGCTTTCATGGCTTCCAGCATAGTCCCAAGCTCATCTATTTTTTTAAAATCTGTTTCTGTTCTAGTCTCTAATCATATCTTTCACTCTGCTCAACATCTCTGTTGTTATCTGGGAAATTATTTCTGTTTTGAATTTTTCTAGAGCCCCATTCATCTCTTCTTTTACTACCTGTGCTATCAGTTCAGGGTGTCCAGGTGGTTGATTATCATATTTTGTCACCTTGTTTCCCCCCAGAATTTGCCTTTGGTGAGCTGGAAGTCTGTGTTTGTATCCTGCCAAGATGTCTTCTCATTTCTAATTCTGTTGTTGGCGCTGTTTTTTGCTTTAATTCCTGGGCTGATACTCCAATATTTCTTATTTTGAGTATCTTTATTACTGGTGTTTGGAGCCCCTATGGAGTGATTGCTTCTCAGAGATATCTTCCAGGTATAGCTGGGCTTTTTAGGCTTTGATTCTCTAATGATCTTAGGCAATCTTGTTTTCATTATACCAGGGAGGACAACTGATTAGATCAATCACAACACCTTAGCCCAATTGACACAATCAGCATCAACAATAGCATCAAACAAAGCTTAGAAAATGACACTTTGTGGTAGCAGTTAATTTGTCACCTTTAACTCCAGTGAGCTAGATCAAAATCTAGGGCCAACCCAAAATATGTTTGTAGTAAGTAAACCCTTCAATATGGCAAATTTACTCCTCAGGATAAAGATTTAGCAGGGGTTGGGGAGAGAGGGATAGAGAGATGGAGGGAGAAGGAAAGGTTAGAGATGAGGCTGAGGACACAGGAAGATCACGCCAATTGTGGGGATCTGTTTGAGACAGGACGAAAAGACAGAGAAAGAACAGAGACAAGTACAGAACAAACTGAAACAATAGGGAAGCTAGGAATTGTATTCACCTTCCTATAATAGTGACGGTTGAGAGGACAGAATTCAAAATGGGACAGGAACAGGAACAAAGAGGAAGAGA